TATGACAATACAACGTGATTTCTGATAATGAACACAGTCTCAAGTACAAACAACCGACAAACTCGTTTTTTCTTCTCTAAAGAAAAAAAGAAAATTTGAAATATCTATATAGATTTCGTATGATTTGCCTATGCAGAACAAACGTATTAATATCATCGTAAAATCATTATCGGTCTTATTATGTCAATATAACTTAATATGTAAAATTGAGCATATTTTAATATTAGTTATGTCGTCAACGCCACATCCGTCAAAAGGATCTTATGAATAGTTTTTTGAGATTGCTGATAGAAACTAATACCGAAGCATTAGACCGATTGCATGACTTCATTTTCATATCTGTAGCAAAAGAACTGAACCTTAGCTGGTTAATCTAGCGCCAGTGGTTGAACAGAATATGAACAAATAATCAGAACAATCTATGAACAGATGTGATTCAGCTTATAGTGGAAACAGACAAATCTCCAAGGATGTTTAAATGTTTCTTAAATGTTTGAAAGTTAATTTTTTTCATCATTTATGCTTTTATGGTGATAATACCGTGCTGATTAGTTCACAATTAGCAAATGATGCGGACAAAGAACGTGCAATATGCAGCATCTATTATTCCCGAACTGTTTTGACTCGAAGTGATTCGAAAGCTATTTAGATAATAAGATTGATAACAAATTACAAACAGGATATTTCCATTCCAGGATATTCCACCACTAAATGATCCACAGTTAGGTGTATCATTATCAAACAAACGAATCCATAAATCTTGTAACGATAAGTTATATTATAAATCTCGATTGAAGAGTAAACGTTTTTATTTTTTAAGTTTGTTCTAACTTTAATTTATACATTTAATTTTAAGTTTGCCATTCTTTCTTTTTTCTGTTCTACTTTTCTCTGTTTGTTACTCCATCATGGGCCCATCGCTATATGTCATTCACGATATTTATTCTCAATGTGCAACATGGATCATACAGATCCACTAGCACTTTATGTCTTAAATGGTGCCTCATTTCGTTTACTGATATCCATTTTTTTTTCTATTTCATCGTCATTAATAAACAACGACTTAGATCAAGAATAAACGTAGTGAGAAGGGTGAATCTATCTTTGAAAATGAGCGACTTAAATACAGCACACGAAGACATAATTGAAACTGATAGTACTGCTATATTTACACCAAGACATTCTTGTGCAAGTGCAGCAACACCTATATATACATTTCCGTTCAACGATAGTATTAGTTCTTTCTACAAGCTAGATACGACAATAGCAGAATTAAGTGACAATGAACATTGTTCGAGTACTCCAGTATTACCAAGACGATTTTCCAAAAGAGTACTATCATTTTTTTCATGTTGTTTTGTTGCCTACGTTTGTTTAAATAACTATCACGATTTATTTTGTATAATTGTTTGCTATTAAAACGAGTTTGTGAAGTCATCTAAATCAACAGACGTATGCATCTATAGAATCAAGAACTATAACTAAAGGTAATCGAAACTTTATTGTAGAAGTATTTCAGACCTTTTTTTCATAAACTTTTATTTCTAAGTTTAAAGCAGCTGCAGTTTCCAGAAATCCACAGGTCAGGTGGTGAATTAATACTTTCAAGGATAAAACGCTACCTATAGATAGTTTCTTGTATAAGTATATATATATATATAACTTACTTATAAAAAATATTCAAGGAATCAAATGCTGACAGCTCGTGCTAAATGATAGTAAATGTTAAAAAGGATTTTTCCGAGAAAACATCGAACTCATCTGTTCTAAATTGTTTCACTCTTCTTACAATATACATCAGAAACGTTTGAGACAGATTTATTTTGTAGACAATATTGTGTTTCCCGTAGAACATGTATATGTCTATCTATTTTTGTTAATAAATCGACAAATACGAATAAATCTATTTCTGACATAACTTTCTTAACTTTCTTAGCAGCAGTTAGTTACTCAAGCATAAATGTGAGTAAGAAGAATCAATTTTTTGGACATCTTGCCAAGAGAATACTAATAACCTTCTCATTTAACTTGTTTTGTTTTGTTATATTAAAACATTTTTCAAGTGATTGAATTGAAAAAATATTTTAAAAAGAAGAAAGTCTGTGAAAACGACGGGTATTAGGAAAGAAAACGCCTTCAAACATTAAAGTCAATTAGATTGTTCTAGCCGTTTCCGTAGAATCGCACACAAAGAATAATATATCACTGAACGTTCATCTGATAACCAGGGCCGTTTGTACACGGCTTTGTACCATTTAAATTAATCAAATCGTCACACATCAAGTTCTATAATTCTTAACATTATTCGATCAATTTTTGTAGGATACGCAGTTCGTGAGGGGTGAGGGTGGCATTTAGTTAGTTGAGTTCCGAATGTCGATTATATAACGATATTTGAAAAAGAATGTGTATTGAATTAGTATTAAACTATTTTCGTTTTTAAAAATGTATTTATTACTGCTCACTAGGTATGTATCAATAAAATCTGATGTTAGAATATCCGCAGTTATGAAGAATTGCTAATAGCTGCGGAGCGTCTCATTTTGCAGAAGAGGGTTATTTTATGAGAAGAGAAACCTGTTTGAACAGTTCTTTTTCGCAATTTAGCGCATTTCAAAATGATCATATTAGTGTGGCTCTAGTCCTCTCTAAATTTTCCAAACGTTTGTGCCACTTTTCTGCCTTTTCTCTTTATTAAAAAGGTTAAAAAAAGGCAGAGGAAAGAGCGGAGAGCACACTACCCTCTAAAATGCTAATTTTGTAACTATTTATAGTGAAAAAAGTAGAGAGAGACAACCAGATATGTATACATAAACATCCACAAAAAACCATAACGAAAACATGAGTAAAGATATCTACGGCGGCTGATGCATGATAAAAGAAAGGGTTTTGGAAAATTTCCTCGAAAATGATAAACTTGAAAATAAAGAACGGAGTCGATAAGACCCAAAATAGGCCACCTCTCAGATCAATCTCATATTAACAGGTCTGATGTAGTTCTCTCCGTGATTAAAACTAGCACCTTAAAAAAACCATTTTGACCTCCCTTGAAAAAGTTTTCGCATTCAAACTTTTCTCTCGTTAGATGAACTTTGCTTAGACCTTAACTTTACTTACCTCATTTCTTCTCGTTTGCTCAAAGTAAATCCCAGCTACTGTATACCATTCAGTAGCTCATTTTGCAGCCCGCGAAAAACACATTATTTTAGAAGTGTGCCTTTATAAATATATACTTGTCAAATGTCTCGAGCTTTTTTCTATAATGGTACATAAAAATGATTATAGTTTCTTCTACAGACATATATTAGGCACAGTTTGTATATAGAAAGATGCAGAATTGAAAGGGCTACAGAATGAGGTATAACGTATTCTGTCAAATCGTAAGTCTGTTAGACTTATGCGCAAGATGCCAAACGGTTGCTGTAAGGTTGACCTGTTGTAGAATGGTGAATGAAATATAGTATTGTATACAAAATCGGACCCGATACGCCTATGATATAGAAACCTGTAGAATTTAACGTGCTTCAATTTCAACAAATTAATTTTTTCAAAAAGTATCTTGTCAACCATTCATATACTAAATAGTATATGACCGTCGCGACTTTTATTTATGGTGGCTGTCAAAACTATTGAACTAGGTTAATTTTTAGTTTTTCTCCTCGAAGATAATAACTACAATAAATGTGAGGTAAGTTTTCAATAGCTCAAGGAGATTCCAACCTGGTCTGTGGCAAATCAAGATTCCACTAAAATTCCCAGAACCCAGGTCTCTGGAGAACCGTAAGCTAGAAAACCACTTCCCGAAGCACTGTTTCATCAAACAGCATTCAATTTAAGAAAAGCCCCATGTCTGCAAAATTAGTTGGAAAACTCAAAAAAAATGTCTTTAATTTTTTATGTACCATTATAGGAAAAAGATCGAGATATATGTCAAGTATTTGTAGGATATATTTACAGCAACACACTTCTAGAATAACGTGTTAGAGCTCATTTTGTAGTCCGTAAAATTCTCTATCGAAAGGTATACGAAGTGAAGTGATTAACGGAAAAATAAATGAATAGTATAAACCTGAACAATGTTGACCTCCCGGTTTGCTGAGATGCTACAGAGTATTTCCAATCTTCGACTACCTAGTTACACTTTTCACTGAAAATTTTATATATCATTTTGTAGACCGCGCAAATTCTCGGTTTAATGTTATATAAAGTAGAGTGGTTAACGATAAAATGGCTGGATAATGTAAACGATGAACGATGTTGATTTACGGAGGCTGTGACTAGTATTTCTAGCGTTAGGAAAACTGGTCTTCCAAAAATCGGATCTTCAAAGACCTATGGGCAGCTGCCTTGGTCATATTCTGGCATTCAGCATAGTCGATAACCTATTATCCACCAGGTCTCATGGTTAAACGACTTGACAGTTAAATCGGTTCCCTCGTCCGTTTTCTTATATTATGCCGTAGTCACTTTTCTGCAATAACGTCACGATTTTTGCGATAATGACTTTTTCCAAAATATTTTGTAAATATATCCCGATCAGAATATAAATTTTCTTTGATATCTTGTTCGAAATATACCATATATCCTGAAGGAGATTTCACTCGTGAGACCAGAATACGCTTGGAATCTTTGTGGATAAGAAGTGGGTAGTTTTCATATGATTATACTATTGTGAAGTGTTCGACTCGTGCAGGAAAACATAACGCTTTAGCTCTAAGATGACATTGTACTATCGTAGGTGTCTTTTGAAGTTTGAAGTTTCTTTTTTTTCTTTCTACAATGTTTTAATTTTATTATTTACACAATAAACACGTTTACTAAACAAAGTAAAACGGGGTTAAAAGTCAAGTCCACAGCAATAAAAACTGAACGAGAATGATAAAAAACGACGCTAAAATTAAAGACATTTTCGCTATAATCCTAAGTTGTGCAAGGATGAGTGTTCGAATATCAAATGAGAGAAAAGAAACTTTAAATTTCGTTCGACAGTCAAATGTTATTCATATTCTTCCTTTGTTCACTTCCATTTCTAAACTTGATATTGCATTTTGTTCAATTTGTTGCTCCTGAATGGCATTGACTAATGTTGTGGCACATGATCTATTGAGTTTATGAACTTTAATGAGGTGTGTGTGCAAAATAACATAAGGACCTTCACATAGCCGAGTGTCACTATCTAGTCGAACCCCATAGGTGTCTTCGATATTCGAAATACTTTGACGAGATACCAACGGACACGTTAATCGAAATTGACGAGCACGAAGTTTTTCTATGAAAACAAAAATAAAAGTCGAAATACAAACAGTGGTACGACAAGGTCTATTTAGCATTACACTCACTTTGATCAAATGGGAAAAGTGGATCAACACCATTTATAGTACTTGAGCTGGTTACATCGACTTGCTTTCGTTGTTTATCATTATTAACATCCTCATATAAAGAATCGAGAACTTGAAAGAAGAAATAAAAAGGTAAAAGATATAACTTTTGCAACACCTCTTACCTTTTCGGATATCGAGTTGTTGAGGAATTGCATTGTTTTGTTGATCTTTTTCATCAGAGAAGGAACCTAAATTCAGGATAAGTCTAATGCTAACTATTTACAACAGAAATAAGAAAAGACTGCAGAATACCGTTCTGAAGAAACTAAAGTTTCTTCGAAAAACACACGCCGCTCACTTTTGAAAATATCGATTTCATGCAGGCATGCACCAGCCCAGTGCGACTGGGGATTGATACCAATCCCTTCAATCTCCAGTTAGGCTTGGTCGAATGTAGTAGGCAAAAGCTTCACTGTACAATCTAAGATGGAACCGTCATTGCACCATGCGCTTAGAGTAATTTTTTTGCTGCTTCTTCTTTACTTCAAAAAGATCACCCTCTCAGAAGTTTGTTCTTATGCTGTTGATGAAGTTTATTTCAGTCCACTAGCCGTAGTTTTGAAATTATTTAATTAATAGATCAGCTTCACTTCCTCCATCGCTCATGAAATGTCTCATACGATGCAGGAGCCTTAAGCATTTTCCCGAGAGCTCCGATTTCAGTCAGTTGATCTTGTGTGATCCTGAAATGAGCCAAGATAGGGATCATTGGCCACGCTGAGTTGAGTGGTGATATTTATTTTTAGTTTCAAATCGACCTAAAGCTACTATATCAAAATTTTCGAAATATCCGCTCTATACTCAACATAGCGGTAGAATGCTTTAACTTGAAAAGCTTGATATAGTGACTCTAGGTCGGTTTGAAACTAAAAATATCTCTTTCGCCTCGTTTTCAGAAAAGGATAATAGAATAAGTACTTGACTGAAATTTTCCAACCAGATTTATTTGCATTGTGTCAGCCAAGTACTTGCATTTTACTTCAAGTACTTGACAAGTAAATTTACTTAGAAAAGTCAACAAGTACTGTCCTCATTACTTAACCCAACTACTTGGGTCAAGTACATTCATTAGGGCATACCAATACCGGTATATGCCTAGTTTTGTCTGCCATTTACCAGCGAGAATCATAAACTTTAATTCATTCTTCTAAACTTTAGTTATTCAGTTTACGCTGAATTTTCTATAAAACGCTCCTAAGAAGTGTATTTTCCCAAAATAGTCATTTTTCACTAATACATGGTACAACTCTAGTGAATGTGCTATCAGTATCAGTACTCAAAGTCGTACTCTGCTGAAAAATGTCCCGAGTACTTATGAGTACTCACATATTTCACCACCCTCACCCTCACAATTTTTTAATACGTAGAAGTGGTCGGATAACACTAAAGAGTATACTTTTTCCACCTAATCAATCACTTTTACTTTTTTCCGAGTTTTTGCTTCGCAAAAATTACTACGATTTTTACCAAAAAATTAAAATCAAGTTAAACTTTTGAAATATAAACCATTCGACTCAGTTTTTGACGCTTATTCCGAATATTATATTTTTATTGCATAAAAGTTAAATTCTGATGAATTACGGACAGAATTTCGATTTCTTTGATCTTGATTTAGAAAAAATGATTCTTATCAATGGGAAAAGCAAAATGAAAAAACAACGATAACACTTAATGGCGGTTCTAATGGAAACAGAACATCGTTTCCATCTCTGCACATTAATAACTGGACAGGTTTGCAAAAATCGTTTATCAACGTTTTATAGAGGGCGTGCAAGACGTCCATACTGAATAGACCTTTGATTCCAACTTCAATCAAGCATCATCCTCACACTCAGTTTTTAATGCTGATTCTGAAAAAACACTTTCGAGAAGTTAGCAAAGTATCTGAACATTTTTGAAAATCAAAGTTTTCAAAAATTTAGACCATCCTTGGAATTTTTTCCATCTCATAATAACGAAAAAGAATTAAAAACCACTATCTGTTACTCAGCTGGATGTGCTTCATCCAACACTATGCAAATAAATCAAAAAAGAATTTGCTATGAATTGGAATTTGCGGTAACTTACTAAAATTTTGTGATTTTTCCACTGAAATCTCGCCATTTTCGGATGAAATTTAAAATAATTGTACCTATACCCAACTTCAGGTCACGTGAGATTCTATGGAATCAGTGTGAATTAAGCATAAGAATGTGTGGATCAACCGACTGAGATCCTCAGCGTAGTAGTATTAGTAACAGTTCAGGACAAGCTGAAGAACATCAAAGAGTGTTTAATTTGAGAAAAATTGTCACCGCTCGGTGAGAGAAGAACGAAAATCAGCTTTTTTTTCTGATGAATCCAAATGTATTGTTTACTTCGACTGGGTGCAGACTACCATCTCCTAAATACGGTTGAAAACGGATTTATTTTGTTGGACTACGATGGACTCGACGAGACGATCTAACATAACTCTTTAGAATCAGAAAACTGTTCAGGGAGATTCTTTTTCTCGAACTGAAGGATGGTATTGAGCCTCTTCATTTTAGATTATTTCATCTTGTTTCTTCTACACATAACATACCTTCGTTGGACATTGTATTAAGAGCAGTCAAACAAATGTATGTAATCGATAAAACAATTCCGTTATATTGTGTGTATTTAATCGATACACTCCAAGAAATTCAAGCTAATAATAATAATACTTGTATTCGATCTTAATAATTGAGTATAGTAGACATTGAGTACTATATACGCTGAAAAAGTCTGAATCCTATCTCTTTACGTTCTTGAGATCTAACGATTTTATGTTTTTTACCTATTTATTTTCTCGAACAATGGCGTTTGTAAAAAATTCGCGTATCTACAAAACGAAAAGATCAAGAAAGCTAAAAGCATGGATTTATAGGTTTTCGAGTCTGGTCTACAAGATGAGACTAGTCACAGCCAATTCTGAAAAATTGATTGAGCATACTTCTGTCGCAAACAGGCGTTTTTCTCGTGCAATGAACTCATAAGTGGTTTTATAATATTTACGAACTCATAAGTGGTTTTATAATATTTACTTGCCGAAAATATAGTGAGTCAACATTTTAAAATTATCCGACGTTGTGAACAATTTACAATAAAGTTTCAAAAAGCTAACCGTGACGTAGAATTTCTGAGAACGTGCCTTGTTTACAATCTGATTCCGAACTTCATTTGTTTTCATATGTGGAAAAATGAGCATCAGACAGCACAGCAATCTCTTCAATTCAACGTCACTGCATTTCAAGCAGAATTCAAGTCTCGACTAAAGGTTTGTCAACGTCTGGAAGTTCAGCCTCTAATGGAAAGTGGCGGCTTTGTATTGAAGATTGAATTACGGATTTATCAATTTGAAAACAGCTACAGAAATCAATATGTTAAAAATCGAAAAAGTATGTCATCAGCCAGTACTTAAAACGATTTATCGTCATATCCATGATGCCTCTCAGCAGATGAAATTCTCGGAAATGCCAATAAAAAATATTAGTAAAGATGAATTGAAATCCTTGAAAGGTCTTAAATCTAAAAAAAGGTAATGCAATGAGTGTCATAGATATAACAGAATATGTTCAAAGAATACATCAGTTTCATAGGAATAAGTACTTTTCGCCAACAAAAGCAAATTTATTAAAAAACGAAGGAAAGTGTACTGTCACTATTGCGATTAAATAGCCCTTGATAAGAAACAGGTGAACAGTAGAAAAAGAAATAGCAAGCGAAAAACTGAATAAAATACTCTGTAAACAATCCTTATACATCAATTTCAATAGGAAGACATCATTTTTACAAGAGACAACTACACCTAAAAGACGATATCAACGATGTTTTAAGTACGTTCTTTTCCATATGCAACCGAGGATCCAACTTGTAACTAATATAGAAAAATAGTCAATGGAAAGCTGAATAAAATGGTATATGACCCATAGTTATGCACCATATTACTAAGGAGATATGGTTTATTTTCAAGCATGCCAATCTAGTGACCATGCTTGAGTGATCATATTTTCCTGGTTTCTCCCATAAGCAAGAGAGGATCCAACTCAATCAATCCAACTCAAAATCAAGGGAATGTACTCGTATTTTGCACTCACTATCCAATTCTCACTATCCAATCTCAATTTTTTCTCAAAATCAACATCGTATTTGGAGTCACCGTTAAAAACTGCATTGATCAATTTTTGTTTCGAAATTTAGACAACTTTGATTTTTTTCGAATATTTTCGACCAAGATTTTTGCACGGGTTTTTAAAATAAAATAAGACTATAACTCATTTTAAAAGTCACTTTGCTACAGTACATCTGATACGTTAATACAAAGAAGAGAATGATCGTGTAAAAGATCATTAAAAGCAAAACTGATGAGAGAGGAGTGAAAACGATCAAATATTCGAGTTAATCAAGGCTTGAAATACTTAATGTTACATGATAATCACATTATGTATAAAAAAAGAAATCAACAAAGAGATCGCATGATAATCACATCTTTTACAACACATCTATGTGATTATTACATCTAGTTAGTATGTACCAGTTTTTAACCGGTGTTGAGGCATCCGGTAGAATTGCTACACATCAGTTATCCGGTCAGGACTTATCAACCGGCTGATTTGACCGTTTCTAATCATCGACTTGGCTTATAACTAGAAAATACGAAAGAAAAAACATATTTATATCGAACGGAAAGCAAAAAACACTGGTCGCTTACCGGTCAAGCAGACGGTCCGGTTCGCATACGTTCGCCCGTCACCCGTGACTGGCTGATACCGGTCATGATTTTGCTGGCCGGCTGTATTTCTGGTCTTAATTATACCTACACGAACTGGAAACCATTCATCTTAACTTCATTAGTGGACTTTAAACAAAATAACTAAGTGTCAATCGTATTATCAAAGAAATTTGTAATTTGGTATGTTGACTCAACCGATACAGCTAAAACTTCCTATACTAAGATCTTAGTAAGATTTCGCTTATATTTGGGGAGATCTTAGACAAATCTTACTAAGATCATGAGACCCGAAAATTTTAAGATTTGCTAAGGTTTTGCTAACGAGGGTACGTTCGCAACTGATAAATCGCTTTCGGGCCGAAACCTAGTGGACTATAGGTAGTCGACCGTGCTGATTCTGAATATCAACATGAGACGTACTGCCAGGCCTTCCGAGACTAGTTTTCTAGAAGACCATTTTTCCAGAAACTCCAGAAAATCTCTGAAACTTTTCCTAATAGGCCATGTTTGTAGTGCGCGAAATTCTTATTAAAATGAGACATCCTCCAGCTCTACACGACCTTTCTTTGCAAAGTTATATAATCTCCAAGAAAAGCCCTAATGTTCATTGTCAGCTCAGAGATACAGAAAGAAAAAGAAAAAAGGAATTTAGGGCGCTTCTTGTAAATTCTATAACTTGCAAAGAAAGGTCGTGTAGAGCTGGGAGATGTCTCATTTTAATCAGAGTTTCGCACGCTACAAACATGACTTATTAAGAAAGTTTCAGAGATTTTCTGGAGTTTCTGGAAAAATGATTTTCTACAAAACCAGTCTCTCGAGACCTAGCAGCACGTCTCATGTTGATATTCGGAATCAGCATGGTCGACTACCTACAGTCCACTAGATTTCGGCCCGAAAGCGATTTATCAGTTGGGAACATTCCCTCATAAGATTATACTGTCTAAGATTTTTTTAAAATTGGATAAGAGCTTGTTAGGATTATAATAGTAAGAACGACGACGTTTTCTTAATAATATTTATTCAAGATTCGCTAAGAATTTTCCAATTTTTAATCTGCGTTATCCAAAGCAGCAGTTGAATAGTGTTGAAAAATGAAGAGAAATTTCACATTTTCGGGTGTCCAACTATGCACCTTGACCTGCATGTAACCTCTCTGAAAAGTTGTTGAACACTTTCGAGAGACCAAACACTAGCTGACTCTGGAAGAAAAATAACCGTAAAATCTGTCATACTTTCGGTGTCACGTATATATATGAATGAGAGCAAAACAAAAGGGTGAATGAAAGTAGGATCACTAAATCTTATTAAGATCTTGAATGGTAAGATCTTATAAAATCTTAAAAAGATAAGTTTAGGAAGTGTCTAAGGTTTTTACTAGGGTGTTGCTTTATATACAAGACCAGACTCTAATACCGTAGGAATTTTACCTTTTTTGTGCGGAATCCCTTGACAAGTTTCTCAATATCATATACCTCTATTACTTCTTCTAGACGATAGTTTTTCTGTGCAGCAGCTGAGATTCTATTACCATATGTAATACTCCTTGTCAGTAGTATGGTATTTTGAAGACTATTTTTTCTTGTCCCACTGTGGTGATAGTCAATTCTGGATTAAAATATTGATATAGTTTCTCACTAGTAATTTTCTGAATGAAGCTGTTAGGGTAAGCATTCGTCCTGGTCAACTCTCGGAATTTCTAGACGCATCGGACGACACTAGATTTTTTTTGATGCTTGGGCACACGAAGATTTTTCCACAATCAGCATTAATATATTTTACTTTTTCTGGAAAAGGCAGTTTTAAATAAAATGCCAGTTACTCAGAAAATGCGATTATTCGTATGACTTATACATAAGTGTATGATAACTATTGCTTTTTACTTTCTATATTCACCATATAAAGTACACAAGTCAACTATACTTTTTCTATATCTTTTATCACTATCTTCCTGTGTCTTGTATATATAGATACAACAGCGATGATTAGCGCGCAATGTAGTGGAATACAAAATTTTTCAATGGGCGCCGACCGGCCGGCCGGCCGATATATAT